GAACTGAGCACTGCGAAGGGCCTACCTTGTTGATGCTGACTCGTCCGCGTCAACCAAGTATCGCGTGTAAATGGATAGACTGCAGTATCATTTTTGTTAGCGGGAGTATCATGTTACCTCTTAAAGCCCCTTTCAGTTAAAATACGACCCTGGGCAAACGAAAAAAGTTTTTTACGCCTTTTAGCAGTAGAATGCGTTTTTACTGTGTGCGCCTCTGCTCATACCCCATGCGTTTCCTTTTTTTTTGTTATTTTGATTTTGGACCAGGAGGCTTTTCTTCGTTTTAATAATAAGAATTATAATAATAAAGTCTTTATTCATCAAAAGATAAAAATACATATCTTTTGTTACAAGTAGGTGTAACAAATTTTAAAAAGTTAAAAAGTAAGAATTTAGAAAAAAAACTCTAGTATATTACATAGCTAATTCATATTTAAAAACTAAATGATTAATAAAAGAGTTTTTAAAACGCATAGTGTTAATCTTCGGTTTAAAACAAGTTTCTTTCCTAAGATTGTAACTGGACGGTTTAACACGAGGCATAATAGATAAAAGTGGATGCCCTTTAGCATTAGGAACGTTTCTGAAAATTTTACCGTCTTGCCTTTACCCCTTTCCCTGTTCGCCAACTTTCCACCGAACAAACAAACAAACAAGCAAACAATGCCTGATCTCAGGTTAGCTTTATCGTCACTCAAGTGTTCAGTGCAGTTACCACCTTCAACAAGAGATCGAATTTAAGATTCCACGTGGTCAACCCAAAGGAAGCCAAAGCAAGGATCATTCAGTATTGCCACGGAGTCCCTTATTTTGCATTTAAGACTGTGAAAAGGCCCTTCCAGAGCAATTGAAAACTTTTCGAGAAAGCTCCCTATTCCTTTCCAAGCCGGCCTGTCCCTTACTCTTAAAAGCCTGTCAGAGGGTGTGGTGGGAGCCCGGACAAAACTGTTGAGACATTTCCGTGTGTTTTTGAATTTCGCGCCGGACAACAATCTCCTCTATTTTAAAAACGGTACAAAGTCGCCCCCCCCCCCCCCCCCCCCCCCCCCCCCCCCCATCTTTTCTCCCCCCCCCCCCCCCCCTCTGCTTTTTTTTTTTTTTCTCAAAAAAAAATAGGAAAGGAGGAGGAGAGGGGGGGTGGGGAAAGGAATTGTTTGTTGGCGGGGGGAGGAGAGAGGTTTTTTGTTTTTTTTTTTTTTTTTATATGCTAAGAGGAAGCACGACGATATAAGGCGCCCCCCCCCCCCCCCTCTCCATCCCGTGTTCAAAGTTGTTCTCCCCTAACAGCTTACCGTGTGCATTTCTTGTGTTACCGCAAACAAAATTGGAATAGAGGAGATGCATGGGAACTGCGGTAAGCATTTTTGTCAGGACGAGAGCAGAAGATAGGTTTTTTTTTTGTAATGTGTTTCAACAGGTTTTGTCCAAGGTTGTCGTGCCTATTTTTCGAATATCCATGTCTTCCTCTGGCTGATGTCCCTTTCGTTTTTCCTCGTCAAAACGTACTTAGAAGCAAAATGCCTGATCAGAATATAGCGTTGTTTCTCTTTTAATCTACCCTGCAAGTAAAGTCTCGTTCGATCGTCTTATCCAGGAAAGATGGAAGCGACTCTGCCAGCAAAGAACGTTCAACCGAGCAGGAAGCAACCTAAAATGAAAAACCTATGCAGCATCTATTTTTATTAATTAAAAAAGAAGTTTGAAATCAAATCAAATCAGTGTTGCGGCTACCTATAAACTGTGACGACGAGAAGCTTGGAACGGGAAATCACACAGTTACATAAATAGTGCTGTGTATGTCCGTGAAGACAGTCCTCTCCTATCCTTTTTTTAATTTCTGGGAGGGGGGTCGAGGGAAAGTCCGACTCAAAACCAATTAAGGGCATATTGTCCTTATGTACAAAACCAGTATGTTGTAAAAAGTAGAGGTAGATCACTCACGATAAATCAGTAATCACGGTTCTGTCAATTAAAGCTAATTTATAAAGCAAGCGTGTAATTTAACAATTTTTAATACCATTAATTACGCTTTCCCTCACTGCACATTCTGTATAAAAGGGAATTCACCTGTTATATTTGCAGTTGTTCTGTTCTAATTTTTTAGCAAATAAATTTATCCATAAAAATCGAATCTAAAAAGTACCGAAGTAGGTTCTTCGTAGTTACGCCCCTGTTTATATGCCCGAAATAAATGCAGAGTTGCGCTTTTAGTACTGTATTTTGGAGACATTTTGCTAACTTCCTAGCTTGTTGAAACTTTTCAATACAAAATTCAGACAAAATCTTCAGAAGCTATTGACTATCTTACACCCTTATTGTTTAATTTGATACTGCAACCCGTGCGAGAACGAGCTTGTTGCTTGTAATATCTGTAAAGACAAAACCTTACTTTTACATTATCTCACTCTAAAACGTTGTAGGGAATACCAGTGAATACCCTTGTTTGCAAATAAATGCTGCAGGAAATGTACCTTTTTTTTTCTTAACAGAGAGGCACCAAGTTCGAAGTAAACATAATGTTAAATCATGTTATATCAAAACGAACAAAATCAATTTGATGACCGGTTGTCCACAAATATCGGCTGATATAAATGGAATAGAACCAATCTCGTACCCAGATCTTCCACGGCCAAAGGAAAGACAGAGTGAGACCTAGGTACGAGATTAGGATAGTACACCACATAAAACTACAGAGCGCTTTCACATGACGTCACGGCAGCCAAATTGGTGTTCCAAAACAATCCTGTGCGGGACGGGCAGTTGAACTCTTTTCTAATGTAAACGTTTTCTTTTGATCCAATAATAGTTGCTGGCCACGTGAGTGAAAACGTTCTATGGCTGAGGCAAGGGGAAAAAAAAAGAAAAAATACGACACTTTAGATGCCCGGAATCTTTGTGGCAGAGCCAGAGGGAAAAGAACGCCTAATCGCAGGTAATTAATGTATAATTCTGGACGGGGCTGGCTGATTAGCATTGTTTGCCCTCTAGCGTTTGCTGTCTAATTCCCCAAGATTTTTTTTTGTTAAAGTTACCAAAGTATAAATTTTAACATTGTAAAGATTTGTCAGCTCTATGAGAACCACTTAACATTAACGCCAAAGAGCCAAAGGCATCTCCGATAGCCAACCTGTGTTTAACCCTTTAAGTCCCAATAGTGACTGATGTCAATTTTCTCCGAACGATATCCATACATTGTCAAGAGATTAGGTTATGAGAATTAATAAAATGATCACCTACGGGAAAATGCCTTGATCAATAATCAAATTATCTCAACTCATTCATGAAGGAAATGTATGGAGATCAGTTTGGAGAATTTGTATGTGGATATTGGGGCTTAAAGGGTTAACACTGAAACATATGCATACACGACACGAAAATAAATGCTTGAAAAATCCAAAGGCAATATTTGAGCCTGAATTCTTGTCGATATGTGCATCCCTTTTCAAGCTTCAATTTGCAATGCATCGTTAGCAGTGCCTACGACATTAGTGGGTTTCACAGCGGTCATCTCACGAGTACTACTCCCTGCGATACCCTCCCCTCTACGCTTGGACTCCATCACTCTTTTCGCGCTGCAAAATGAAAATAACATACAGTTATTAACATTCAGAGACTGGACGGTTAAATGCGGGTTAATTTTGTTTTTCCGATGGTTTGTCCTACTGCAGTATGTCGCACGCTACGTACGTTCAGCAATGGGTGCTACTACAAAGCATGCCAGGTTAAGGAAATTTGTGCTGTCTACCCGACCTACTTGTAGCGATAACAGAATGCAAAACAGCCGTATTCTTATTCCTTTTTTCTTTTCTTTATTTCTCTCTTTTTCTTTAAGGTGGATTGGTGGGGGGGGGGGGGGGGGGGGGGG